GCACAATATTAACAGTGTCCAAGTAAAACAGTGTTAGAGTTGTATTTTGATTCCATTCAATCTAGATCATTAAAGTAGGGTTTGTAGCTACCTGACCTTTTTCCTATCACAAAAACACACCAAAAAAGAGCCAGAGGCAAAGAAAACATCCCTTTTTCCCATTAAAACTTTCAGTGTGACTCACTGTGTGGCCACGTGATAAGTGTTTCCACAAATACTGATCTTGTGGTTTATGGCATTATGACATGGCTTTCTCTGTGCCTTATAATTCAGTCCGTACAGTGTAATACGCACCTGCCACTGCACTGCCTTAAATGACATGGAAAGAGGAAAAAATTCAATGATCTCAGTGAGCTGATGTGTGCTTTATCATTAAAGATGTGAGTCTACAACCTAGAATCAACAGATATATTTTTGTACATTTTTGTCCACAAATATATAGCTAGAAGTAGTTGACTAGCAGCAATATATGGGCTGTTAGTCTTCCTATCCAGCATATAGTAGCTTTCATATATAGAATAAGCCTAATATCTCCAAATGAAAGGGGAACCCTTGCACTTTTTCTGGGCCTGGCACCCCTCAACTTCCACCAGGTCTATAATTAGGTTCCGATGGGGGGGCTGATGCTACTTTCTGGCAGTATACCACACACAGCCTCACAGACCGCATCTATCCTCATAGGCTCGTGCAACAGACTCATTTAGTCAGAGAGAGGCTACTACTAAAGGTGAATGCACAGGAAAGCTCAGGCTGCTCTTTCTTCATAATATCAATCAAAACTTACTGGAAAATAATTCGGACAAGTTCTGACATCATAGATTCAAGACCAGACAAATCCTTTATGAGAAAGTGCTCTCTAGGGAGGTGGAATAAAATGTACAAAACACCACACAGCCAGAAAACATGGCAAATATGGAAATCCAGGCCATGATTTCATATTTGGCTGGATAAACAGTTTCAGTGGTGTTGAAACAGAGATATCATGATCTCTTTCTTGTGAACATTAGAGACTGCTCTGGAATGAGCAAGCAGACAAGCTGCGTTGCTATCCAAATGGTTTCAGTTAGGATCTCTGAATGGTGTAAGCAACTGCTGAGAAGAAAGGTAACAGCAAAACAAAAGCCTATTTACTTTTATGACCACCTTTAGGATTTATGGCAGCTGATATGGAATGAATGACTGGCTCTAAGAGATTTATTGTGTGTGGCAAATGGTCTTATATTTGTATAGCGCCTTTCTATGCTTTACAGCAGTGGTCCCCAACCTCCGGGCCGCGGACCGGTACCGGTCCGTGGATCAATTGGTACCGGGCCGTACAAGAAATTATTAATTATTTTCGTTTTATTTATTATCTGAGTCTGAACGATCTTTTATTTTGAAAAATGACCGCATTCTCTCGGTTACATCTCGGTCACTCGAGCGCCAAAACTGGCTTACTTGTGGACATATTCAGCCTGCTCAATGAACTCAATCTGTCACTTCAGGGGAAAATGACAACTGTCTTCAAGTTGGCAGATAAAGTAGCTGCATTTAAAGCCAAACTGGATTTGTGCGTACGGCGCGTCAACAGAGGTATTTTGGACATGTTTCAAACATTAGCGGGGATTTTGGGTGAGACTGAGCCAGAGCCTTCATTCTCCCAGCTGGTGCACGATCACCTGTCTTTGCTTATAAAAGAGTTCGAGCGCTACTTCCCAACCACAAAGGACCCACGAACTGCCAAGGAATGGATCCGCAACCCATTTGTCAACAAACCAGGTGAATCCAGCAGGTCTGTGCAAGAAGAAGATCAACTGCTGGAGATCGCAAATGACGGCGGCCTTAAAAGTATGTTCGAGACAACAACTCTGTCGGTGTTCTGGATTAAAGTCATGACAGAATACCCTGAGATCGCCACCACAGCACTGAAAACCCTGTTGCCATTTCCGACATCCTATTTGTGTGAAGCGGGTTTGCGCAGTGATGGAGCAACCAAAACAAAACAACGAGTAGACTGAACATAAGCAACACACTTTTATAGACTACCACCTACGGAGCCCTCACAGTTAATTTACACTTTGCTTTGCACCTAAAACTGAAATTCACACAACTGTTGTTGTTGTTTTTCTCCTCTTCATTTCTTGCATGAATTTGAATAATGCAATGAATAACTATCTTTCACACATTTTTAAATCTTTTATATTGGATCTTTAGGTTTTGGAAATGAGAGTTTGTAAAGTGGACTGGGGTCTATGACACAGTGAATCAAACTGTAAACTCAGCTTGCACTAATACAGCTCCATGACTCCTCTGCAGTATAATGAGAAAACAGAAGTGTGTGTAGGTGTCTGCTATCTCTCTGAGGACCTCTTTTCCTTCCTTTCACCTTTTCCATCAGACACACACACACACAGCTGACAGCCCTCACCTCCAGTGGCAGATCAGTTATGTAACATACTGTATATAGATGATGGAGTCTGGAAGACCTCCTTCTCTCACTCCCACAGACACACACCATGTACAGTGCACTACATGTGTGTGCATGCGTTAGAGCAGTGGTCCCCAACCCCCGGGCCGCGGACCGGTACCGGTCCGTGGATCCATTGGTACCGGGCCGTACAAGAAATTATTAATTATTTCCGTTTTATTTATTATCTGAGTCTGAACGATCTTTTATTTTGAAAAATGACCGTATTCTCTCTGTTACATCTCGGTCACTTGAGCGCCAAAACTGGCTTACTTGTGGACATATTCAGCCTGCTCAATGAACTCAATCTGTCACTTCGGGGGAAAATGACAACTGTCTTCAAGTTGGCAGATAAAGTAGTTGCATTTAAAGCCAAACTGGATTTGTGGGGACGGCGCGTCAACAGCGGCATTTTGGACATGTTTCAAACATTAGTGGGGATTTTGGGTGAGACTGAGCCTGAGCCTTCATTCTCCCAGCTGGTGCACGATCACCTGTCTTTGCTTTTAAAAGAGTTCGAGCGCTACTTCCCAACCACAAAGGACCCACGAACTGCCAAGGAATGGATCCGCAACCCATTTGTCAACAAACCAGGTGAATCCAGCATGTCTGTGCAAGAAGAAGATCAACTGCTGGAGATCGCAAATGACGGCGGCCTTAAAAGTATGTTCGAGACAACAACTCTGTCGGTGTTCTGGATTAAAGTCATGACAGAATACCCTGAGATCGCCACCACAGCACTGAAAACCCTGTTGCCATTTCCGACATCCTATCTGTGTGAAGTGGGTTTTTCTGCAGTGACGGCAACCAAAACAAAACGGATATAAACAACAATATAAACAACCTACGTACCAACCCCCCCCACCCCCCGGGCCGCGGTAAAATTGTCGAGCGTTGACCGGTCCGCAGTGATAAAAAGGTTGGGGACCACTGCTTTACAGCACACTCAAAGTGCTTTTACACTATTTGGCCATTCACCCATTCGCACTCCCAAACACTCACACAATCACACACCGGTGACATCACCGGGAGCAACTGGGGGTACAGTGTCTTGCTCAAGGACACTTCGACACGTTGACTGGACAAGCCGGGAATCGAACCGCTAATCCACCGGTTAGGAAATAACCCGCTCTACCTCCTGAACCACAGCCATGTACTGTCTATCGTTAATATATGCCACAACAGCAAGACAGAATTAGTGGAAGAAAACAGCTCCTTTTTACACTCTGTAGGTGTAGCGTTCACCAGCCTTTCAATTCTTATGTATTGTACTGCATAAAACAAAATTTTATTGTATTGTTTAATTTATATTTTACATAATTTGGGGGAAAATCACCTGTATTTCAGCAGTAATGGAGTGCAGATGATGGATGGATGATGGGGAATTTAACTTTCTCAAAAAACAAAAACAAAAAAACTATTTTAATCAGAAAATATGATTAAAGGATTTGAAGGAGGGAAAGTAGGTTACAGTAAGTAACACATCCAGCTGTCCAGTTTTGAACTATTGGCCACAAGTGCATTCCACATCATGTGGGCAGAGTCTTGCACAAGAGAGGACTGTCTTATGGTGAAAGAACATTAAGGCAATGGTCAGAATTACTGAGAAATGATGTGTCTTGTACTCATTCACCAATAGCACCAGTTCAGCCATTACAACAATTTTAAACATTTGTTCATGAAATTTGAGAATTTCAAGCAGCAGTCAGTCATGTCTTCATTTAAAGACTCACCACTGTTCAACTATTGATATACACATCTGGTTGGACTCAATCAATTCTCAGTGGAATTGACAGAAACTAAATCTTGTAGTGAACACCGAGCTTGTAAGATTTAGTCTGTCTTCAGCAGGCTACAGATCCAGTTGTTTATTCTCAACTCACCAGGCTGACTTTCTCACCTTCATATTAAACTGCATATCTTAATAAGGACCCGTTCTGTTTTTCTTTTTATTTTTTGTGTTTTTTCTTGCGACAAAGATAAATATCAAGTAGGACATTCTACATTTGAAAAGTCAACTGGTCAGAGGTGTCTGGTGGAAAAACTGTGGCACAACATTAATGGTTTAGGTACCTCAACTTTAAGTGTTGTTTTACTGCAACTTCTATATAGTATTAGATGAATCTGTTTATAGATTTACTGTGGAAAAGTTAAATAATTAGGCCAACACCATAAATGTTCCAGATGGCATAGCTCATGTCACATTGCAGCAGTGGGATTCAAGTCCTGCAGTTTTTCCTTGTCTGTATGCAGTTGCAGTAGTAGAAAATGTCACCCTGGGCTAAGTTCAGAGACACCAGTCCACCACTACTGACATACTACACAGATGAGCATCCCAATACTATTTTCCCCATTTACAAACAGGGGTTTGACTCCCTGAGTGTCAGTAACAAAAAATTGCAACAAAAGATGTTAGAAGATACCATCAGTGCCCTACTGAGCTGACCTTTTAATGAGACTTAATGACCTCAACTGAGATTGGTCCTGGATAGTGTATGAAGGCGCTTTGTGAAAACAAACTGCACATAGTGCTGCTGTGCTATATGATACATACCTGGGACATGCTAAAGTTTGTCCTGGGGCTTCGCACCGAGAGAAATTCCTCAAGAGGCAGAAGAAGGTGCATTTTGGAGTCAATGTCAATCAGCTGCTCCAGGTCAGAGGGGTCTGGGGTGTAACCCTGGGCTATCACGCTTGACAAAGCCCACATGTCCTCCTGGAAGAAAACAATCACTGAAATAAGTCCACTGGGTATAAGTTCACTTTATTTAGTGGCAACTAAAATAGGGGACTGAAAAACACTATATATCCACTGCTTATTTAGCAACTTTGTAACAGTGACATCTAAAACAGGGAAAACGTACAAGTCTGACTCGAGCACTTGGTATTCACTTCTGGATGGTGAACAGGGTGCTGATCACTGTTCTCCACACAGCATGCCAAGTATAGAGCCATATGCCAAAATCTGACAAATGCATCTTCCTCCCAATATATCCTATGGGAAACAATGGGTGGGTAATGAGCTCATCCAGACCCAGTGGGGAGATATGGTCTTACAATATGTCTGTCATGTTAGCAAAGATCACAATGTACAGCTGTAACCTCTGAATTATACAGAACTGGAAGAAAACTGGCATTAGAAAAGAGCAAATGAAGGGTGTTTTCATAAGGTGGAGCTCCACTCAAATGAGAGCAACAAATTCTTATGACACTGGTTCATGTTTCTTATGTACAGATCTATTTCACTCAAGTTGCTATAATGTTTAAATGATTGCAGTGGTTTAATTTTACTAGAATGTCTTTTGACCATTGAAAATAAGTCGTTAGACATAACATAAAAGATCAAGAAAAGAATGACAGAATTCTGCCTTCACTAACAATGAGATATAGCTCGAAACAGAGAAATGTAAAACACAAAACAAAGTAGCCTACTTTCATCATTTAGAACTACTCTGATTCTGCTGCACTGATAGTCATGCTCGTGAAGTTGGTATTAAATCAAACTATGAAACAGCAACCATGAGTGAAACCTCTATTGACATTATTGTCATTCTTCACAGTGACACATTCTAAATCAACTAAGAGTAACACAAATAGTGAGGAAACAAATAAATAGCTCAGAATGCACAGCAGTATTACCCCAAGGCCACAGTTGATAGATAAATATTAGCACTCCAGTACCCAGGCCCTAAAATGTTCTCTGATTACTGACTGCTACTGATTTATTGCCTCAGATTAGTAGAATTACACAAAACTGTGTGGATTCTGCCAAGAACTGGGTTAAGTCCTCTAAACTAAAGACACAACACTGCCAAAGTCCGGGTGACATAAATAATGTGCTTGTTGTGTTATGACCATTCATAATAGCATGGTCTGCAAAAACAGGAAGTCTGCTTTCAGCCAACCCAGAGTATCAACACTGTTTGGCATCTGCCATCACAGTTACGGTTGTACTGTTCTAAATGTCAAGGCAAACATCGTAAATACAGCAAAAAGACATTTTTTTAAAAGCCCTGGCAAGCTGTTCCCCGGATGCCGAGCTGTCGGGGTCAAGCTAAATGGAACCGTATGTGAAAGTCAGTTCCCTTTTGTTTCCCAACAGGCTTTGTTCTATCTGACTTCACACTGGTCTCACAGCTGCCAAAAGGGCTATTAAAGCAAATTAAAAGAAAATAAAAACATCAGCAGTCAGGATGGTGTAGGTGGGGTCACAGTGAAATAGTCTTGTGCTCCAGGTGTCACAAGATCTCAGAAGAATCATCAAAGGAAAACACCAGGCCTTATTGTTGCGGCTTGAAGCTCTATCAGCACCCCCTCACTATGAGTACAAAGGAAGCTTATAGTATGCTATAGAAAAGCTGGTGACTTGCAAATTTCACAGAAACAAGGGGAACTGCCGTGAAAATCTGATTATAAAACAAATCATTCCATGTGAACTGCATATGGGATCCAGTCTCAGCTGCCAAAAAGTCATCAAAACAGGAATATCTGACCAGTGTTGCTCTGTGTGCTATTCTGTGGGCCAAAGTGTGGCTGAGCTATTTAAGAATGTGCTTAAATCATGTTGAAGGCCAAATGTTAGATAATGACACAATATTTGACAAATATGATACCAAAAAACTATTTATAAATGCAGAGATAGTATTAAACAATTGGAAACAATATTTCTATAAAATAGTTAACATTCTTTAGTTTAAATGTAATAAATACAAGATCCAAATGTTTCAGAAGTAGTGGACTGGAGCATTGCTAGACATGAGGGGGGAGTTTGATTTGGAGTACCATCTCTTAGTTATAGGCCTAGGTTGGGGGTCATCCCATGATGCTCTGAGCTCCTCTCCTCACTCTCCATGCATTTATATGCCATTGTTGCTGTCTCCTCTCTCTCCCTGTACCTTTCTGCAGGTATTCCTGGCTCCAGAGCTCTAGGTTTCTGATGAGTAGTCGCCAGCCACATTAACCTGCCCAGTGTTTGTTTGTTGATTCTTGATGCTCTTCTTTTCTCTCTCCTCTTTCCACTCACCTCAACCAGTCAAGGCAGATGGCCGCCCACCAAGGGCCAGGGTCTGTCAGAGGTTTCTTCTATTAAAGTGAGTTTTTCCTCCCCACTATCGCCAAGTACTTCTCAAGAGGGATTTGTTGGGTTTCTCTCTATGTAAAGTGCCTTGAAATGATTTATTGTGATTTGGCGCTATACAAATAAAATTGAATTTAACTGAACTGGAAGCATTAAAGAACTTGAAAAGGAGAGGTTCTACAGCATGTGTTGTCTGTTAGGGCTTCATGTCAGCCTACCTCGCTGTCTGCGCCTCTGGCACTGTCCTCTTCCTCTTCATCTGTTTCTTGAAGAAGCTCGGCAAGATGCTCTTTCTCTGCCTGGGTCAAAAGCACTTGGCCCTCCTCGCCACTTACTAACTGTTACATCACACAACATTTGGAAAAAGGGCACTGAAAATCACCATTTGTATAAAAGTTCTCTCCTTTTAAATAGGGGTAAAATATACTCTCCTCTTGAACTACAGAGAAATATTTTCCTCACTGGGAAAAAGAAACAGTCCAGAGACTTGCACTAAGTCATGCAATATACCCCAGCACTCCATTTGGCCTACATGAACTTTGACATACCTCAATATTTCTCTTGACAAAGTCTTGTTTTTTCTTGCCTTTGGAAAGGCCACACTGACTGCTTTCAAATTTCTCTTCCCGAGTCTCTCCATAGCCTGCTTCAAATGAACACTCTGTCCTTTTTTCACCTGTCAAGCAAGCCACATTTCAAATCATTTTTTCAGCCATGACTTCTTATTCTATCATTTTATCCACAATTTAAAACTTTGCAATTGCCCAAATCATTTTGAAACAGGCTGAAATATGAACAATTTGTAAAAGAGAACATCCCCATGATAGCAATGAGCATACCTTCCTAAGTGTCTCTGAACAGAGCAACACAAAACTGTTCTTTGGGGTGAAAGAAAAGAGAATTTTTCCTTTGCCAATCAATATCATATTAAGACATAATATTAAGATTATAATCCAGAGCCGTCCCTGGAAGGCTAGTGGTTAAGGCGCTGCACCTCGGGTTCGAATCAGGGTTGCATCAGGAATGGCACCCAGCGTAAAACACGTGTCAAATGCATGTGTCAACTTGCGAGTGTGACGATTCGCTGTGGCGACCCCTAAACGGGAAAAGCCGAAAGAGACTTTCTTACTAAGATCATGATCAAGAAATCATTCACGAATCCCTGAGTGGGTAAATTGTTATGCATTCACTTCTGTAAAAATGTTATATTAGCTGAGTTAGTGCACTACTGTCTGCACCAGCATACAGTGAAGTGGAAAATAACAGCTGGTTGATACAATGAGTTCCCCGAGCTCATGGTGCCATCAAGTGCTCCATCTAGGCAGTACAGCTGAGTACACAGAATTTAATACCTGTCAGAAAAAACAGACATTTGCATGCTGCGCTTGCTTTCATTATTGCTTTTCTTGAACTTACTTTGCTGGTGTTGACTGTCTTTGTCATGCTCACAGTCAGGAACCTCAGTTTCAAACAAAGGCACAAAGTCGGCCTCCTCTTCAGCCCCTTTACAAAAAAAAAAAAAACTTACTTTAAATGTCTAAGTGACCACAGTTTACACATTTGCTGATAGTGTTACCTAAGCTTACCAGTGGGTGCTTCCAGAGCTAAAAACAATCTTGTGTTCATAGCTTCATGAGCACTTTCAGAATGACCTTTCGGTTTATTTTGCTGTAGAAACAGTACACACATTATGAGTGAACACCTTCTTCAGTCAATAACTGTACTGATCTAGTGAACTGGTGTGAATACAAAGACTGTGTCTACCAGGAACTCTTGCCAAAGTTTTGCTTGAAGTTCTTTCCTTTGACGTTTTACTTCTTTTTCTCTGCAGATCTTTGCATTCAATATGTCATCCAGTCGTTTCATTTCCTTAATAGCTCTATTCAGTTTTGAATCCTTCTTGTCTTCATCAGTAACATCAACGTGACAGTGATCTAAATACACACACTTTTTTATTTTAGTGTGGAGTAACTTAAGTAAAATTGGACAATCCTAAACTCCGTAACATATTATAGCTACAGAACAGTTACCTCTGTCAGGACCTTCGGGTGAGGAATTGACTGTAGCTTCTTCAGAGGTGGTCTGGATCTACAGAGAATTATTTTCCAAAGTTATTGCAGATTATCAAGTTTGATAATCACGAGTTTTGTAACGTTAACGACTTTGCGTAATTACCTGAATATCAGCAGCATCGTCGGTCAAGACAACGAGGGTAAACGGAGCTGTAGGACAATTTCTGTCACAATGAGGCAATGATGCCCTAGACACACGATTACCCGTTTGCTCACTCGATGCAGGTCGGGAAATACTTTCTAAACTACCTCTGATAATTTCCATACTGTGAATTTGTTCAGCTGTATTTCAAGACGAACAACAAGAAAGTGGTTGCAAGTATTTAATACCCGTTGCCATAAAAATACGCTTGTCAATAGTTTTCTACTGTTTTTCTCTGCTAAAGGGTTGGTAACTATGGGCACAAACGTTCCCGGATGTTGTAACTATGGACATATGAATTTGTTACTATGACTACCTTACGGAATCGAGGCAGCTCAGCTGAAGCTTTATTCCGTGCAGTGAGCTGTTATAACGGGCATAATAGGAGCTAGCTAGCGGTTAGCTGTAGTAGCGCCGCGCCTCGTTAAAATCATGTTTTTATTGTTTCTGCAGTAACGTTACATGTCTTTGGGGTAGCTGAAATATTGCTGATAAATGTCTACAGAGTGAGAAAGCGAGGGCGGAGGTTTCGTGGTCGTGCTTGTATGTAAGTAACATTAGCCATTTCAATGTGTAGCCAGCGTTAGCGAGCTGGCAAATACTGATCATATCAGGTAGCTAGCTAGCGAATCTAATAAGGAAAATCAGCCATGATGCGTTATGTTGGATATTAAATTTCTAAAGATGGCACCACAGTTGCTATCAGGTTAGCATCAACATTATGCACTTGGCATGTAAATGTGATATCTTTTATTTTGGCCCTGTTCTCTGTAACGTTAGCGTCATCATTCTTAGCTATGATAGCTAATAGGCAATCGCTGGAAATGGGTGTGTATCTGCAGAGAGGGAACCATTCAAAACCAGTTAGATTTTATATGTAGGAAATGTAGTTAGCTAAGAACCAGGTTCGCTAACTGTGGTAGTCACCGTACGGCAGTAGTTTCTCATTTATGCTAGCTTGCTAAATACTTATATCATTACAGGTAGTGTTTTTTTTTTCTTCTCGGTCCTGTCATTGTGCCACTGTCCCACTATCACACTCATTTAGCTGGCAGCAGCTCAAGCTCTGCAGAGTACTTGCGCCAGGCAGGTGTCAGCATGATGTCAAGGCTAGTGGAGACAGCTTTTTCATCGTGATATATTTGTACATTTGTAATTACACGATTTCTTGTATTATACCAGGCTGAGTTGACTCTGCAGGGGAAGATGTGCAATGGAATTATAGAGACTATATCAAAAGCCTTTTGGACACACACCTCAGTCACTGAATGGTCCTTCTTGTTGCTGCTGGTACTGACTGTAGTGTCCACCGGACAAGGGTCGGGTAAGAGGCAGAACTTAGGGTTTCATAATCATACAATACAAAGCTTTGTAGATTGTCTGTATTGTTATTAACCTATCTTTTCTTCTCCTGAAGAAATTGTATCAAATCAGCACTGTCATGACACAGACCATCCTAGTGAATGACAGGCAGGGTGTATAACCTGTTCTACAGGGGAGACTTAAAGGATAAGGCCGGTCATTTTCTATATTAATGGTATTTTCAGCAGTCTCCATACAGAGACTAAAACCAACAGTCAGTCCAGGATAAGCTTATTCTTCTATGCCATAGATCTCCACTGTTGTTCAAAAACAATTAAAAACATGTCAGGGAAGCACTTGCTGCACTGGGTATCATATTTCTTCATTACAAAACACCAGACCCTAATTTTTGTTAAAGGAAATCCAGAGATCTTGTGCATGGGCTCTTGACTGTTGTTTACTTCAGGCACTGTAAACAGGCTGTTCAGAGCCTTGGGGGCAAAGGTTGAATGAGCTAATCCAGGACTGATAGATTGACAGGCATTAATAATGAGTAGAGGCAAATCATTGTTGGTTTTAGTGTCTGTATGGGGAGTGCTTTAAAATACGGTTATTCTAGAAAATGACCAACCTTATCCTTTAATCCATCAGCTTCTTAATTTTGATTTCAACACATTTCAGTTGATGTCAGCAGATTTCTCATGAATAATATTACAGTCCTGTAACCACCTGATGTGATAATGTTGCTTGAATATCATATAGCATCAAAGTCACAGATGCGTTACTTTCAGTACAGTTTACTAATGAAATATATAATTTTAAAAACCCGTATTATGAATTGCGCTTAAAGAAAGAAGTCAACTGTTCCAGGTTTATGATTGCTTAGGCAATTTGAAGACTTGTAGAATATATTAAATACTTGTTGCATCTTTACTTTTGAAACAGTGACACCAGCTATATTCAGAATTTCTTCTGCTTTGGCCTTCTCTCCACAGGATGTGTGAGGCCATACATGGCACAGAACAGCTGGGTAAACCTCACAGAAACCAACCGGGGCTTGTTCCCTGTGGGCACAGTGCTGCAGTACAGCTGTGACCCTGGTTACCGGCCAGATGGACCCAGCATCCTCACCTGCACCACACTGGGATGCTGGTCCTCTGATCCTCCTCGCTGCATCCACAGCGGTGGTGGTAAGATACTCTGACCACCAGTGTCTTTTTTGATCTCTAAAGTAATGGCGAGTCACTGTATTGTGAACAACTACCCTAAATGAAGATCCTTTTGTCATATGAAAAACCATGTTTTCCGTCATTTTCAAGTTTTAATTATGTGACACTTTAGTTTTATGTAATGATTTTGGCCAATTTTGCTATCATATGAACTTAAAAACAACACAGAACACTTTTGAAGTTGGGCTGGTACTTCATATGTTGTTTGTCCCCCCATTAGTATGTCTTCCCTTATCCAAACCTGAGAATGGAGGCTATACCTGCCACCCGTCCCCCTGTCGAATGTTTTCCCACGGCACTGTGATTGAGTTTTTCTGTGATGAGGGCTTTGTTCTCACTGGAGATTACAACTATCTGACATGTCAGGATGGACAGTGGGACAGCCCTGTGCAGATCACTTGTGTGAGCCAAGGTTGGTCAGTCCTCAAACTCACATCTACTGTATCAGTAGGTTAATGTAATGGTCTTAAACAACCACCTATCAGCATAATAATGACCAAAGATTTTGGGATTTTTTTTTTTTTTTTTGTATAAATCAGTTTATAAACCGCAACCGAAATAACCTTGGAAATCAACTGGACTTGGATATCTAGATCAAAGACGTTTCACCTCTTATCCAAGAGGCTTCATCAGTTCTGACTGACTGGTGTTGAGTCGGAGATATTTATCCCCCTCGGTGTGGTTTCAGTCCTTAGAAGGCCAACACTGCCCATTAATGACTGAGTCGTTACAGCCCAGTATCAGTGAGGGTCGTTACCTGTCTTTGGATCCTCCCCTGTCAACTGACGCCTATTGTCCTGGTGGGCATGTTTGGGCAGAGATCTCAAAACCGGGTTGTAGATGGAAGACAAGTTGTGTCTTAGTCCACCACCCCTATTTAGTGAGGGGTGTTCTATTTTTACGAAAATAGCTTCCTTAACACCTCTCTCAAACCAGCGATGTTCTCTGGAGAGGATCTGGACTTCACTGTCCTCAAAAGAGTGTCCTTTCTCCTTCTGGTGGAGGTGGACTGCTGACTCTGGTCCACTGGAGT